TGATCAATACGTGTAGTTAAACACCGGTATCGGAATCTCAGCTGGTTAGTATCATAAGCAATTGCAGCCCAAATAGTTCCACTTTTATCTGTCCAGCGTCCGTAACATCGCCAAATATTTGCTTTTCCAAAAACTATATTGGGATCTTCAAGAATCGACTGATCTTGAAAGTTTGGGCAGTAACCAAACGTCTGTTCCAAGATGGAATTATCTCTAAGTGGAGACCCTTGTCTTTGACATGCTTTTATTAAACTAAAAGGACTACTGCATAATCCAGTACTTCCAACAATTCGATAGTCAAAGGCGAAAACGCCCTCAATAATGCTTTTACAATTAAAATCCGAGTAATCCTCACGAGAACGAACAAAGCCCGTCTCTAATTCCGATGTAGCAAGTGATCCACATATAGTAGATTCATTTGACCCGAATTCAGGTCTTTGACATTGACCTGAAATCAAAAACATTATTTTTTGTTGAAAAACACATACTTCGTCTATACTGTATAACATTTGGACTTCTGAATATGAAATCGTAGCAAAAAAAGCAATCTTTCGTCCTGAATGTTGTAAAATTGTTTTGACGAATGACTTACATGTTTTTATAAACAACAACGATATCCTCTACAGCATCTGAATTTGTATTTTCAGACACTATCATATGACATGATCCCCATAAACTTTCTAAAGTTTGTATAATTTGTGATTTCAGGATTTGAGTAGTTGTTTCCTTCCCATTTTCAATTGAAAACAGAGTTTTCACATATTTCGCAGGAATTTCACAGGTTCCCTCAGTTTCATAATTTACAAATACTTAAGTATAAAGCTGATCATATCTCACACTTACATACTAACAGTATAACAGCTAGATAATATGACCCCATAGCTTCCTGTTACCAGACGTTTGAAGACTGCGCTATTTACTGACAGTATATAGTTAGTGTACAAACGATTTTCCAACATCCAATATCTTTAGGATAACTAATTATAAACCAGGTGATTTCCTTAGACTTCCAAATTCATCATAGCGATGGAATTAAAGTTTTTATAGCACACACTTGTGACACAATGGCTCATCAGGATTTATGGTAACATTGTACCAAAATATAATATTGAATAAAGCCATTAATAATAATAATTAGGATTGCTCCGTTCTACATCAACTTCATTGACTACGAAAACTCATTTGATAGCGTGGACAGAACAACACTATGGAAACTTCTTCGACACTACGGCGTGCCTCAGAAGATAGTCAATATCATACAGAATTCCTATGATAGATTACACTGCAAAATCGTGCATGCAGGACAGTTGACAAAGTCGTTCAAAGTAAAGACCGGTGTTAGGCAAGGTTGATTACTCTCACCCTTTCTCTTTCTCCTGGTGATCGACTGGATCATGAAGACGTCAACGTCTGAAGGAAAGCGCGGGATACAATGGACATCTAAGATGCAGTTGGATGACCTAGACTTCGCAGACGATCTGACCCTTCTATCCCAAACGCAACAACAGATGCAGGAGTAGACAAACAGTGCGGCAGCAGCCTCAGCAGCAATACGTCTCAATATACACAAAGGGAAAAGCAGGATTCTCCGATACAACACAGCATGCACCAATCCGATCACAATTGATAGAGAAGATTTGGAAGATGTAGAAACCTTTACATATTTGGGCAGCATCATTGATGAACAGGGTGGATCTGATGCAGATGTGAAGGCGCGGATCGGCAAAGCAAGAGCAGCATATTTGCAATTGAAGAACATCTGGAGCTCAAAGCAACTGTCAACCAACACCAAGGTCAGGATTTTCAATACAAATGTCAAGACAGTTCTACTGTATGGGGCAGAAACCTGGAGAACTACAAAAGCAATCATCCAGAAAATACAGGTGTTTATCAACAATTGTCTACGCAAAATACTTCAGATCCATTGGCCGGACATTATTAGCAACAACGTACTGTGGGAGAGAACAAACCAGATCCCAGTGGAGGAAGAAATCAGGAAGAAGCGCTGGAAGTGGATAGGACAAACATTGAGGAAAGCACCCAACTGCGTCACAATACAAGCCCTCACATGGAATGCTGAAGGTCAAAGGAAAAGAAGAAGACCAAAGAACACATTACGCCGAGGAATGGAGGTAGACATGAGAAAAATGGACAATAATTGGATGGAACTAGAAAAGAAGGCTCAGGACAAAGTGGGTTGGAGAATGCTGGTCAGCGGCCTATGCTCCATTGAGAGTAACAGGCGTAAGTATGTAAGTAAGTAAGAATTGCTCCGTTCTGTTTGTTTTAAAGTCTGCATAATATCTGCTTCCCCTGAAATCAAATTTTAATTAACATCTTGTAATTGCGATTGTTTGTTAACGGCATTCTAGCCATTTGACTGTTCAAGGCTTAGTAAATCTAAATCATTTAGAGTGTTGACACATTTAATAAGTATACATATTTATCTAAAACTATTTATGTCTCCGAATTCAGATGGCACAACATTTTCAAGGTGTCTACTGAAAGTACAGAATCCAAAAGTTCGAAAGCAGGGATACAGATAAGGCTTCAAATCTGTAATTATTAACCATCTACTGTGTCAATAATACTTTACCAGATGGTGAGTACGATCCATCTGTGTTTGTTTCAAACGGTCTTAGATTGTTGAGCTTATGCATTTCTTTATATACTAATTTCACGAGCATTGTTTTGCGCTGGTAAAGTATTGCTAGGACTTATCGTACAACTTATATTTCACAATTGTTGTGAAAAACTCATTTACTCGACCTGGATGCCACGTTGCCGTCATCTGTAGTATACAGTGTGACACTCAATTAATGAATCAGCTATGCAATCTAACTCTCAGATTATCCATTCAGTTAGCAAAGAGCACGAAATTCTAAACGTAAATCAACTTCCAAACATAAAAGGACCCACAAATAAACACACCACAAAACCTGGAAATTCAATCACGGTTTCTAATGATTCTCTCATACCTTAGACATTTAAAGACAGCTCTGAACTCCTACCCAGTTTGCAGGACAAAATGGGCAGGATGCTCTGGTATGAGTTAAACGGGAATTTCAAACGTCCTTGAACCAACAATGGCATGTTTAGCCCTGGGGAAAGACTCTGTGTTGTGGCTTGGAGTCGCGGTTGACTATGATCACCACTACAGACAGACCACGTGCAACCTAACCGTTAAGATCCCCTTTAAGCCAAATATCAGAAGGTAGTTGATCGCGGTAGTCTAGGTGTATTTGTTGGCGATCTCGTGGTATCAAAGGAATACAGATATCGTGCCAGGTTTCAAGTGTGGTTACCGAGAGTAACCAAATTTGTGCAAGGTGACAATGTCTTTATCACAGTTAAACAAACACGTACAATAAAACAGTCACCGGTGCCATTGGTTATAATAATTATTTTTCCATTAAGCCATCCGCTTCCTCTCGACAAAAGTCGGTCACTACAACTCCAAGGATCAACATCGTACAGAAAACCTTTGTCTAAAGCTCAAAAACTCTGCTTTTAATAAGTTTTCATAACTAATGTCTGAACAATAACTAAAATTTTAACGGAAAAGTTAACGACCACTTTACACTGAGTCGTCACATGGCGATCTGACAAAGAAAATTGTAAATAAAATGATGACAATGAGTAAACAATGATGAATTAATCGAAATTTTTTATATTTTAAGAAATATAAGACATGGTATTTTTTTGTGTTTTAACAATCCACAAAGTAACTATTTTCCCCGTGCTTATTTGGATTTTCCAAGGTTACTGTTAGCTACGTGGTCAGCGTCATTATTCATTACGATGGGTTGTGTCACAAAGTGTTCTGGAAAATGACAGTTTTGCTGCTCCTTTCGAATTTGAAACAGAAGTATCATTGTTTACCGAATTATAGCACTTACGGTGTAAATAAATTATGGATTGCATTTGTGCGACTCTGGAATGACCCTGAGAGTTTTCAACTGTTTACGACTAAACGAGGGTTATAAATTGGTGTTAGGAATTAGAATGCAGGTTTACATTTCAGGGTTAAGATTAGAAATTAGATTTAGGGTTTTCATAACGAACTGACATCAGTTTTAATGTCAAAACCCTACTAAGGTAAATGGATGAGTGAATTTCGCGCCAATACCCTATACCTGTTTAATTATACCTGGTTGGTTCGTCCATAAATTATAGTTTCACCAGATTTACATTTCATGTTTCAAAATTTATTTTTGCACCGTAGGAAACGGTTCATTCGTAGAGTTAAATCGACACGTCATATCACCAAATAAATATTTCAGTGATTAACTAATTGTTCTTCTTTATAACTCCAAGGGATTCTAGCTAAACTTATTAGAAAAATAATAAACATATAATAGACTCTAATATGTATATAGTACTTGATATATAAACTTAAGCTAGATACCATAGTATCGTTGTTAGTCGAATCTCTATTCATATCAATATGAATCTTATCCTTCAGATAAGCTCTATTATATGAGCTTTAAGACATAAATGACCATTATTTTTCAGAATTATATTCGTTTATACAAGTTCCTTCAATATTACCGGTTTCCTAGTCTTTTTCTTTATTGGCTCTACTTAAATAGATACACGTGTATCTGTTGATATAAAAGATCTGTTCTTTTAACCACCCGGTTTGATCATCCGATCTAATTATCAGGACTGTCTGCTATTTCTTGCTTCCTCTTAGTTGTTCTGGGAACAGTTAATTTCTTTGTTGTTTTTTATACTTCAAAATTTCCTACGGAACACTGCGGATGCTAAAAGCTTTTTGCTTATAAAACCATATGTAAAAATGAAAAAAAGACTCAGAATTGGACATTTGTCGCAAAATGACTAAATATAGAGAAATTTCAAATTCACCTCATAGAATCCGAGATAAGTCTCTTGAATTGGTGTGCTTCGAATTGTATGTTCTGTAAACCTTCATATCTACTTTTAAATCGTTATAAAAATAATATTCTATCAACCGTTTTATTAGTTGTTTGTTTACTATGAACAAAAAAGTAATATGCCTGTTTGACGTTGATGGAACACTTACAAAGCCACGCAATATTATATCCGATCATATGACTAAATGTTTGCTTAAATTGTGCTCTAATATTCCCTTGGCTATCGTTAGTGGTTCCGATTTCCAGAAGGTTTCTTCACAGATTGGGACACTCGGTAAGAAGTTTTATAAATAACGCTTTTAATTTACGCATGAAGCTACCGAAAAATTTTCATATATATTCTCTGAAAATGGTTTGGTAGTACACAGTTATGGTCAGAAAATTAAAAGCACAGTATGTAACCAAGTTTTATTCGATGTAATTTCATTTCAGAATATTGTTGAGCATGTTGGTGAGGACATCCTTCAACGTTTCATCAATTTCTGTCTCCAGTATATGTCAAACCTCTGGCTTCCGAGGAAAAGAGGAAATTTTATTGAATTCAGAAATGGTTTGATAAATGTGTGTCCAGTTGGACGAAGCTGTAGTCAGGAAGAACGAGATGAATTTGCTGAATATGATGCGGTAAGAATGATTAATATTCACTGAAAATATGTAATCGTTCTTTACATACTGCAAAATAGGCGTTTCGCAATCGGCTGCCCAACAGTTTTCCCTTAAGTCTTATTGTCAAACTTCTAAATCGATAGAGGTATCGTAATTTGTCCACTTGTTTCACAGGTTCTTGTACAATTTAAGGTAGTACGGTGTGTCTCTGTAAATGTGCAGGTGATTCATATTTCTTATCGATGCATATATTACAGTTGCACCCTAGTAACATAAAAAAGTTTGCTGCTGTTGCTTGTCTACTTAACCTGTGCGTATGACTAAAATTGAAGTAAAATAAAATTGTTGTTGTACACTTTATTCAGGATTTCCCGTCATGTAACATTTATGCAACAGTAGTAACAAATCATTTCTTAAAGACAGTCTTTCCTAATACCTCATTATAAAAGTGTGGTGTCATCTCACAGCAATTAACAATATGATTTTACCTATGAATCTGGTACATGCATCAAGTTTTATTAATGGTACAAACTGCTTCTGGTTTTAGTACATTCCACTTAGCCTTCGTGCTTTGTAAGAGAACTTAAGAACCAAATGTTCAGACCAGATTGACATTATTGAATCGTCTGTTTAGATAAACTTTGTCTACACCCTAAGATACGATTTATGATCAAATTTTTTATTCAATTATATGAGTGAATTCTTGACGTTAGATATCATCTCATCTTTTTAGCTCTCACTAACAATGTTTTCAAATGAATTAATGTGGACAATATCCATTCCATTACTAGTATAACCTGTCAATAATTTGGTCTTTTTCCCTAAGCACATTTATATCACCACCTATCGATGATATGGTAATGGAATGAATATTTTCGACCGTTCTATTTTTTTTTGCTTTAGAAACATAAAATTCGAGAAAATTTCGTCATGAAAATGCGTTCGGAATTTCATTCAAGTCCTTTAGAGTTCGCTATAGGTAAGCTAATTCATACAGTCAGCCGGTTATTTAGAAAGTAAAAACCTGGTATAAACATATATCGGGACACGTTTCTACTCTATACAGTATATATAGTGGTTAAAAAGATAGGTTAATGTCAGTCACCCTATGCACAATTGTTTTTAAACGTAGAGTAAGGCTTAAAGTTGAGGATAAAGAATGATGAGTCAGTGATGAATGTTTTGAGATAATCATTAGGCCTCAGATCCAAATTCTGCTACTCTTGAGAAAAATATCACTTATGATAGTGGATGATTATCATCGTATATCACGAGTTTACTGAAGTTGAAAAGGTCGACCATTACTTAGTTGTTTAAGGATGACATCTGCACCTAAACGCTTAAACACTAATGGTTTCCTATATATGCTAAAGTCTTAGGCAGGCATCGCTACCGAATTTCATTTTCTCGATGCTTTCTAGTTCTCAATTTTCTGTGACTGCAACTATCTCTAAATCGAAATAGGTGAAAAAGGATTTGACCTTGTTTTTTGACACTTCATAGCTGAATGCTTTGTTATCATTTAAGCCACTGATCGCCCAATATATTTCAGTATTGTATTACATTGTTTTATGATATTAATGAACACTTGTAGTCATATAGTTTGTTTACATTTCTTTTGTAGGTGGACAAATTAGTATTGATGTTTTTCCAAAAGGTTGGGACAAACGATACTGTTTACAATTCCTGAAAGATTACGATACTATACATTTCTTTGGTGACAAAACGGAAGAGGTAAAAGCATTAAAATTAATGGGTGTTGACATATTTCATGCCTTTGTATTTTTGTGCATGACTGTCACAATTAAACAAATTTGTATACAATTAGTAATTACGTTTTTATGATCCTTTTTATTTGTCCACTGTTTAAAAACACACAAGTGAAAACTTTTATATCCTGTATTTATCGAAATATAATGTATACTTAAACAAAGTCAAACTAGATTGAAATGTAAAAATAGGAGGATAATAATACAATTAATAGTCTTCACACAGATGATACAATACATGGAACGAAATGATCATAAAGAAATCTAATGAAATCTGAGGATATTTTTCATATATTTTCGGATTAATGACCAACGAAGAACCAGATAATTCACTAATAAATATATATTTGTGATATCCCACTGAGTTTACAATTGTATTTCTGAATGACATAATATCAGTCACTTATTTCTGAATAAGTGACTTACATTAAGTCACGGAACGTCAGAAATACAATTATCTACTCATTGGTAACATCACAAAAATATATTTATAATCAACTTTCTAACCAATTCTCAATTTATATGAAACTATCACGTTCAACCTTGGTATCGATACCTACAAGTAACTCAATGGTAACGTCTCCAATGGACACTGAGTGACACGTTTATAAGCTTTGTGAGGGTAGTTATTTTCCCTCAAAATAGTAGATGCAGATTACTCGGCTTCTTGTCATAATATTGACCAATCATCTTACATATGTCTTTGGTTTACTTCGCATTATACAGTGTACTATTGCTTTTTACTTTTAATAATTCTGTATTCTCAGGGTGGAAATGATTACGAAATATTCAATGACCCACGAACCATCGGACATACTGTTACGTCACCGGAAAATACAGAAGCCCAACTCAAAGCGTTATTCCCCGAATATTGTTAAACATGTATATAAATAAACACTTAGCAATAAGCAACGACAGCGGTTGGAATAAAAAAATATAAGTGCGAATTTATTTCTAAATTTTTTTATCGACAAAATTTTAATTCACACTAGACACAGTTTAGTCTGTTTATTTGTTACTTTTACCTTTTGTTTATACCTAAATATTACTATTGTTTATTGGTCGTTTATTCTAGTTTATACGTGATGAAGATATTTTATAGAACAATAATTATTGCTCTTTAATATTGCCATATCTTATCTTATTTTGTCTTTTTAGTTCATTAGGTTACTTTTCCTGTAGAAACTGTATAGTATGTTCTTGTATTTGTGATTAGATATTAGTTAGTTGAGGTTTTCGTATGTCTACGGATTTATTAAGTGAGTGGTGTAATATTGAGTATGTGAACCTAACTCGGTGGTTTTGTCCGACCAACACTGCTCATCCCATCAGTCAGCGACTTCAAAAACTCACTCCACTTCCTAATTTGGTCACCTCTCAGCTTCCTTACAATCTATGTTTTGCACTAATAAGCATGGCTTTTCGAGGTAGGTGGTGATTTGACCGACGTGACATACATCCTAGTCACCTCATTCGGCGGAGATTCACAGTCTCATCAACCAATTTGCCACCTTTACTTAGAACCCCATACTTAGCCTCAACACTTCTCGCTTCTTTTGTTTCATGAAACGCCAGCAATGATTCGGAAACACCCATAATCATAAGATTTCAGCTTATACATATCTCCTGTTTTCGAAGAGCGTATTTCACAACTATAAATTGGAAAACAGTGAGCTACTGCTCATGATACTCGTCCTCTAAATGGTGATCAGTCATCTCACTTTTGCCACAAGTGACGCATGATTTCAAAAGCGGGTTGGACTTTTGGACAGTGTCTCCAGACTTCATCAGGCTGCAACCCACCAGGGCTGACAAAGCTTTCAGGATAAATAAAGCTGTCAAAACGCTTAACTACTCCACCTTCTGTTATTAGTTCTACGATAAACAAAGATCAGCTGCGAAGCAATGTCTTACATTCAAGGATGAAGAAATATGCCTGTATTATTGCTCAAGGTGATCATAAGACTTTTGCATTTTGTCAGAGTTTCCATCAAACAAATTATTTGCCTGAGAGTAGGACGAAAAACTACCACATTCAATGAATATTAAATCGGTAAAGGAAATTCGTCTTTGTTCACTGCAAATTTACAGAAAGCTGCATATAGAGAATTTTGACGGCTGGAAACAAACATTCAAATTTACAGTAAAGAAATAAGTGATAGAGATAATATACGAAGAGTTAACTCTTCCAAAGACTTAAGATCGCGCAAAATATATATCAGCAGTTTAAAAATCCCCATAGAATATTCAAAAATGAAAAATATTTGAGCGAACAATTGTTTTCAATAACTTCATCATCAGGCTCTACAGTTATAAGTCCATAATTATGATATTTAACGAAGGCCAAAATAAGGCATGTACTATAGAATTTGACAATGTTATATGTTAAAAATGGTGAACGTTTGCATATATTACGATACAAATACTTCAAAATTGTGTTATTTGAAAATTAGAAAGGTTATTTAATAATGGTCAAAATGATTTGGAATAAAGTGTCCGGTCACAATCAGTAGAATAGTGATTAAAAAAAGTCGTGTGAATAAAATGCATAGTAAGAGAATTTCATCTTGTCAATTGTGATAATAATGATAATAGTAATATAATAATAACAATGGTAATATTGTTGTGTGAATATAATATGTAATAAGAGGGGTGTTATCAGGGTAATTACGATAAACAAAAAAGGATTCATGTGAATTGGGAATGATGGATGTGAAGATTCAGTCAGTCAGTCAATAACAACGTAGAACTTCGTACGTACGTACATCAGTTCGAGTTGTCACACCACCTTAGCACAGAGATGCAGTTGTCGATTCAAATCCCGTAATGGTAGAAGTAGCAAGAGTATAAGCAGTAATCGGAAAGATTAGGGTTTGGAGATGTTATTTAAAGAGTATAATCCAGTGAAATAAATTAGGAAAGAGGAAAAAAGGCACATGAAGAATTCAGAAGATTAGAATTTGGGAGAACACAAAGAGTGTATGCACCTGCACCATTGCAAACGATTTTGAGCCATGTCATTCAGGGTCTCTAACCATCGGTTGCTATCATCTCGCAGTCCTCAACCAGGTAGTCTACACCTACCAACATGACTCAGTCCACTTGTCAGTGACTTCATGGACTTGTGCCATGTTTTGGTCTGGCCGCCTCTAGCTTTCTTCCAACCTACTCCTATACCACTGAACATAGCACGTCGAGGCAGTCGGTTGTTGGGCATACGTAACACCTGTCCCAGCCATCTCAACTGATGAAGTTTCACTACTTCATCAATTGATTTGCCATCCTTACCTAGTACCCGTTTCCTAACAACTGTGTTACTTACTCGATGGTCCCAGGATATACGAGCAATGTTTCGAAGACACCTATGATCGAATACTAGTAACCTATGAATATCCTCTACTCTTACCGGCCATGTTTCACTGCCATAAAGTGGGACGGAACGAACTGCTGCGCAGTAAACACGTCCTTTGGTTGATAGACGGATATCTCGCCTACGCCATAAATGACGCAAGTTGGCAAAAGCTAGTCGAGCCTTCTGTATCCGTGCTGAGATTTCGTCACACACCAGACCACAAGGGCTGATGAGACTTCCAAGATAAGTGAAGCGGTCGACACACTCAACTACTTCACTCCCTATCAGGATGTGAAGATTAAGATAGATCTAATCAAAAAAAAGGAAGAGCGTAAGAGGTTTGTAATATTCAATTTAAGTATCCGGCGATCTAGTCGTAGGCCAAGGTAAACATAGAGGCTGGATATACTTTTTCTGGTTTTCGAGAGTTGATCCAGATGATGTTGGCTATGTACAGTAATCGTAGTCTAGGACATTGAGGTAGATTTTTTGGAATTTGGTATAAGACAGAGAAAGCTTCATCTATCTTGACGTGATGTTCGCTATCTACCAAGTGAGAAATGATACTGCTGTTGGTCGACTTCGTGACTCCTTTTCCCAACCATGCTCGTACATATTCACGAACACGCAAGGATAAAGCCCTTTGAGTACGGTGTATGTAACTAGCTCCACAGGAGCAGTTGAACTGGTATACACACATGGAGGAGCCCATCATCAGTAATCTATCCCAGTCGTATGTGACGAAAATATCTACAAACAAGGGTTGTTGGACATTTTCAGTAAAGTCTACCTAGCTTTTAAATTCACCAGTCGTTTCTGGATTAATAAAACCTTTAGTGCACCATAGTGTTAAAAACCTCAGAAACTCATTACCAATTATTGTAAGTAATTTTTTAAGCAATAAATTTTTATTCGTTTGTAAGTCTCACTGAAGAGTTGCTATTTTTAAGACATCCGACCGTTGTTGCTACCTTGACGTGGTGGTCGGGCTTGCCTATCGTGATGAAGCAACCGAGCTGTACTGCCTGGAACAACCGTTCCTCAAAGTCCTACCATGTCAGACAGGTTAGTCGAAGAGCGGTAAGACTAAAAGCAACAAAGTCTGAAGGCGAAGTCGTACTGCTGACTGTACAGAGGCGTGACAGCAGTAAGGTGTTTCCTTCAGACAACCAGCATGACAGCGATGCTGCCTTCCCGCAAGGAGGGGTGGGGTTAGAAAAGGTCGACCCTAAAAATGCACATCTCGCCTTATCCCACGGATATCCATCTCCGGCGGTAAGGTCTCAACAAGTACGGAGCTAACACAAAAATTACCCATAAAAAGGTCGTGTGTGACAGATTTCAAGCAGTTGTCCCTTGGCCACTGCTGTCACGTTCCCAGGTCACTAAGACCACCTCTAATCCAATTTCCTTTTCAGGTACCTCCAGGACAACACTTCCACGGTGTGAGCAACCGGAAAGTGATAACCGCCCTCATACCTCTAACAGCATTCAAGACCACTGTATTTATACTCAACCTGTAATTTTTAAGACAATTTGTTTGCATTCATTAACACTAGAGTTCTAATGATATTAGAAGAAGGCTTACAAATTTACATGACAACTTGTCTTTCTGATGCATGGTTGCTATCCCTCCCAGTTAGAAAAGTAGCTAAGTGACTTGAAATGAATATGATCCTAGGTTTTACTACTGGAAATTCAGTATTTTCAAACTGTCCAGTAATCTCGATAATTCAGTGAGAAACGAAAAATGAAATTTTACAGCTATCCGATAGTTTTTTTCTTTCTAACTGTGGTCGTATTAAATTTGACTTATATTAAAGGATATTAAGAAATTGTAAAATAAAATGAAAAACTCTAGAGTTCTTGCTCGCTCCTACTTAAAATGAAAATACTTTAGCTCGATAATATGGCTTAGACAACGATACATTTATGCTTAACATTATTAGCTAAGTCGAATTTTCATGATTTGTTTCCCTGTTTAGAATGATTTTAAAAAAATATCATTTGATTGATTAGTGAGATGTTGTATAACCCATTTTGATGAACCTTTTAAATTGGCACATAAATCAATGTATTCAGGCATTTTCATGAATTTTTTCGGTTTACGCGCACAATGTTAGTTGGTCCTCTATCAGATCACTGTTTCCTTCGTAGTGTTGGTTGCTTGGGTACCGAGCTTTTCTTTTTTGAGCCTGGATAAGAAAATCTAAGTGGTGACCAATTTATAACCCTTAACAACTGTGTTTGTTGTGTTGACTTATTACCATATCTTTTATGGGTTCGTGAATAGCAGTTCATTCAGAGTCTTGAGTTGTCATTCTACACAAACATTAAGTTGAGCTGAAAAGATAAATAGAATCTATTTTACTCATATATTTTTTATATTCAGATTTATATAGTTTATCTACAGTGAATCACTATAACTTCAAACCAAATGTTTCATTGAATGGAATAAATTACAGTAAAAAATGTATTATTTATACTGAAATAATAGTATCAATGAAGTACTTTGAGTTGTGGCTC